ATTTTACCCACCTCGGAAGGATGGAAGGCTGAGTCAACCTTGAGCCGGTGAGATTTGAACAGCCGAACTGCACAACTGCAGTCAGCTGAAGTAGCCTGCAGTGCTGCATTTAACCACTGCGCCATTTCAGCTCTCTTCCGTGGTGATGTCACCAGCATAAGCCGAGGCGCACGGAACGCTGCTTACCCTCCCAGCAAAGTGGCACCTATTTATCTACTCGCATTTGCACGCTTTCGAACTGCTAGGTGGGCAGGAGCTGGAGCAAGGAACAGGAACTCACCCCATCCCTCAGCACTCGGGTCTCAAACCGAAAGCTGTCAGCTTTCCAGCAGACAAGCTCAGCATTTTTAATTGCTGAGCCATTGTGCCCCTATCCCTAATATTATGCAACGATATTTAGAAATCCCTCAGAAGAGTTGGGGTCTCATTGTGAACATCTCCTCCATCCTCCCTTAATTTGGTCTGCACCAGAGATTTTTATGACTTCTAAAGAGTTGCAATTTATCTTCCAACATCATGATACCTCGCTACGGAGCTCCCTAAGTAACTCTGCAGCAACCTTTCATTCATTACGAGACTGAAGGTTTTATCGGTAGTCCTCGACTTACCACTTAACAACTGTGGTAAGAAAGGTCGTAAGATGGGGCAAAACTCACTTAACACATGTTTCACTTAGCAACAGAAATTATGGGCTCAGTTGTGGCCATTAGTCGAGGACTATCTGTATTAGGAGTAGCCCAGTGTAAATGAGCTTTGAATTGGAATCGGAAGAAAAAGATGGGAAGACCAGCACCAACAAACAATTGCAGAAGGCGTCACGGTTCCGACAGATGCCCTAATTAACTCATGAGTCTCGAGCCAAGTTTCAAAAGAAAACCAGCTATTTATTAGGAGCAGCATGTCGGCATCTACTCCAGTGAGGTCAACTCTGCCGCACGTAATTTATGGCTCAACTTTGACCTGTTTTCCCCCCAACTTCCTCTCAGTCTGTGTCATAAATCACATTCTCCACCGAGGCACTCCTGCGGGCTGTAGAAATCCACGCCTCACAAGCTGGCTCTGGGAATTGGAGATCTGAAAACTCGAAGAAGGTATGTGTGGAATGTGCTCCCCCCCCCCTCTTGCTGCCCATGGCAACTCGAGAGCAGACTAGAAATGCTTTGTGAGTTGACACAAGGCTTTGTCCAGAACCTCTTACCGGAGGGCCCGTTTTCCCCACAATCCCAGGGATTCCTTGCTCGCCTTGCAAACCCATTTTGCCAGGATGGCCTGGAATTCCTGGAAGTCCAGCAGTTCCATTGGGGCCGTGCACTCCTTTCGGGCCAGGCTCTCCTCTCTGTCCTGCCTGCAAAAGAAGAATGAAGAACATCCCAAATCCGTGATGGCAAACCTATGGCACATGTGCCACAGGTGGCACGCAGAGCCCTCTATGTGGGCACGCAAGCTCTCGCTCCAACCCAGCTCCACCCCTGGCCAGCTGGCCTTTAGGTCTCTGCTGCGCATGCATGTAGAGGGGTGGGGCGAATGCATGGGGGTGTCTGCTCGCAATGCATTTTGGAGCCTTGTGCGCCTTCCCCCTCTCCATTTTGGGCCTGGAAGGCCTCGTGCACCAACCTGGAAGCCAAAAATGGGGCGCATGCATGGGGGAGCGCGGGGGGGGGTTCATGCACAAATGCCCAACGGGTCACACATGCATGTGTGGGGGTGGGGCGCATGCAGGGGGCTGCTCACATTGTATTTTGCCGTGACCTGTCAAAACCGCGCTCGACTAAACCGCGCTCGACTAAACCGCGC